TAAACGTGACAAAGACAGGAGTTGTATATATTTATAAGTTGTGTGAATGGTAAATATATAGTATACTAAACGTGACAAAGACATGAGTTGTATATATTTATAAGTTGTGTGAATGGTAAATATATAGTATACTAAACGTGACAAAGACAGGAGTTGTATATATTTATAAGTTGTGTGAATGGTAAATATATAGTATACTAAACGTGACAAAGACATGAGTTGTATATGTTTAGAAGTTGTGTGAATGGTAAATGTATAGTCTACTAAACGTGACAAAGACATGAGTTGTATATGTTTATAAGTTGTGTGAATGGTAAATATATAGTATACTAAACGTGACAAAGATATTGGTAAATATATAGTATACTAAACTCTTTGTCACCATGAGTTGTATATGTTTATAAGTTTTGTGAATGGTAAATATATAGTATACTAAACGTGACAAAGACATGAGTTGTATATGTTTATAAGTTTTGTGAATGGTAAATATATAGTATACTAAACGTGACAAAGACATGAGTTGTATATGTTTAGAAGTTGTGTGAATGGTAAATATATAGTATACTAAACGTGACAAAGACATGAGTTGTATATGTTTATAAGTTGTGTGAATGGTAAATATATAGTCTACTAAACGTGACAAAGACATGAGTTGTATATGTTTATAAGTTGTGTGAGTGACGAATGTATAGTATACTAAACGTGACAAGGACTCGGTTTGTAGAGGTTTATAAAACATGGTTAGGAATGATTTAACCATACTAGATCAAATCAGTTGGAATAGGAATTGAAACTTGCTTTACTGCAACGTTGTAATAATAATAATATCTGATTACAGTCAACTAAGACTGATATGATGTTTGATCAAAATTAGTAGGTGTATACGACACTGCTAAAACTAGGTCTAATGCGATGTTGTGCTAAACATATTAATTGAGTACGACACTGTTTAGAGCTAGGACTAATATGATGTGTTAGACATAGTAGCTGTATATGACACTTAAAAGTTAGGACTAATCTGATGTTGTGCTAAACGTATTAACCGAGTACGATATTGTTAAGAGCTAGGACTAATATGATGTGTTAAACATAGTAGCTGTATATGACACTTAAAAGTTAGGACTAATGTGATGATAAACATTGTAATTGTATATGATAATTGTAATACCCAGTATTTCAACTTTCACGATCGAGTTGACTCCTTTCTTTAATTACAAAGTAGTTATTGTAATATTTTATATGTCTTAAAATACACTCTTCTTGGTAAATTAGATTATTACAATATTTTATATTCATTCCGGGACACTATACGACCCCAAATATAAGTTCTAAATTATTTATGAATTCACATATCTTATCACTATGTTTTCTGTTGTTTCTTTGTGTGCAGCATTCTACTTCCTATTTAAGGGACATTCAGGAAAGACGAAAAAATTTGAAACCTATCCTCGCACATGGATGACATTATTTCATATGACTTTGGGGTTTTATGAGGTGCGTATAACCTTTTCACTTTTGAATATTAAACGCTTGATAAACACCATGTATTTTGTTCCTCTATCTTCTATCAATAGTCCCAACATTTGTGATAAAAATAACGTAAATTGTATATTATCTTTTCCCATAATCCTCTTAACTTGTCCATTTCGAATTCATAATCAGAGGTGTGTAAAAATAGCATTTCAGATCTATCTTTTTTTTTCTCCTACAAGTCACTGTCTAACTCAACGCAACAGCACAACAACAGAAGCGGAACACGACTACACAACAAAACAACTTATCAGACCCATCACTATAACAGAAGTACAAGAAAACGTAAAACTTTTGAAAAACAAAGCACCCGGACAAGACACAATTTCAATAACTCAAAAAATGTCCTCTGAGATTAATAAAACATTTCACTTCTTTGTACAACTTATCTCTAGAAACAGGATACATACCAACCGCTTGGAAACAGGCCGATGTTCTTATGTTCCAGAAGGTAGGAAAGTCAACGAATAACCCCGAAAACTACAGACCCACAAGTCTAACAACCAACCTAGGAAAAACTACTTGAAACAATTATAAATAATAGACTAACAAAGTACCTTGAAACTAAATCAATACCTCCGGAAATACAAAATGGCTTCCGAACAGCAAGACCAACAGATCATCTCATAAGATTAACGGAAGATATAATACACGGCTTTAATAAAGAACAATGTACAGTCGCATGCTTCCTAG